GTTGGGAGTACTGATAGTTCGGTTATTGAAGAGGAAATAGAGTATGTTAGATATATTGAACAAGATAACCTGTCACACAATTCTTAGCTATTAAAGGTGCTCGGAAAGCAGAACAAATGAAGCTTAAGAAAATCATCTTAAACAGATTAGACATATCAGTGATAACAGAAGACAGATTACATATCAGTGATAACAGAAAACAGGTTACATAAATGTAACCTGTTTTCTCTTATCACTGATATGTCTAATCTGTTTAAGATGGTTTTCTTAAGCTTCATTTGTTGTTTACTAACAATAAATTTCAAATTATCATCATTGTTGCCACAGTCATCTATTCTAAAAACATGTGGGCACACTTGATTTCTGAAAGGCACATTTAAAATATTTGCCTGGTGCCATAAGGCACACTTAGAAAAAAAGTATTTCTATCCCTGATATTATTTAACTTAACCAAGCAACTTTGTGTATTTTGATACTTAAGGCCGCACTCAATCAAGTCTTTAGCAAATGCTTGACTGAAATAAAATTTATAAAAACACAAGAATAAGACTGAAGACAAAAATTACAGGCTAACATTTTATCAGGTCTTCATATGGAACTGAGTTTTTATGGATGTCAACTTCGTTATTGTGTTTCGAGGATATACTTTCTCCTGCATATGGTGAATGAAGGAGTAAGTCACTGGGTCATGCGATGAACGATTAAGTATATACACCGAAATATTGTGTTCATCTTAATAAGGGCGGTGGGGTAGCCTAGTGGTTAAAGCGTTGGCTCATCACACCGAAGACCCGGGTTCGAATCCCCACATGGGTACAATGAGTGAAGCCCATTACTGGTGTCCCCCGCCATGATATTGCTTGAATATTGCTAAAAGCGCGTAAAACCAAACTCACTCAGTCCTCTTAATAAAGAAGTTGACATCCATAAAACTATCTTCCCTAAATCATTACCCTAAAGGGTCACCCAAATGAAGAATCTTCTGATGGATTTAAAATTTGTCCGTTTCTTGCACAATTTTAAAGGCACGATTTGACACCACACTTCTCTAAAAATAAATAATGCAATTCTCTTAATTATACTAACAATCAGCTCTCAGGGAAGCTACCATATACTTTATTCCCCCCAAAATTACATATTTCGATAACAACATTAAATTAAAAAGTTTGAATAAATTAATGCAATGTTGCATTAAATCGACGCTCGCGCCGACCGAACATTATTTCAAGCGAATCATAGAGTTACGTCCCTTGGAGCTCACTTTCTGAATATCCTTTACCTTTAGGGACAGAACTGAGTCCTAGACAAAGTGATGCAAATGTCTGGTGCAAAAACATATATGTGCAACTTGTGATTGAAACCAGTTCGGCAAACACCGACAACACTACGTCCGACAGTTTTTGATGGACGGAGCAATTGTTTACATTCCATATATGGCAAGTGTTTCTCTGTTTGGAAGCTGTTCGCTTTGAAGTTTCAATTATCGATTTCAGGCAAGTCATAAGGGATGATAAGTCTTTTATTGCATCAAGTTGCTAAAGTGAGTGCATATGCCACAATATATATATAATAAAGGTGAAAATATTGTCGAAAATGTGTGAAATTGTGCAATAAGATGAAGTTGTTAATCAGCCTGCTTGCACTTCAATTTTTTTTAATCCAATTACAGGGATTTTCTGTATGCCCATCCATTTAACTTCTGTATCCACAATCCACAACATTAGAGGATGTGTTTAGTTGTCTACCTTTGATAAGTACTTAGGGGATAAATCCCAAATAGATTATTCATGATTGCAGAGCTACAGATTAGGTCATTGAGTTTTATCGTACAGATTAGGTCATTGAGTTTTATCTTACCTCACACATAAATGTCGCTTTCTGATTGGCTGAGCGTTCTTCTATTATTTTCAATGTACCCCGCTTACAAGCGAGTAACTTTTCAATGTACCCCGCTGTCAATGGCAACTCATTTGGTACTTCGTGGTAGTAATTCTTTATCTCGAATAACATTGAATCACGTATGATGTACGGAAATTACCAATGTTTTGCGAATGCAAATCGATGGAAGGGAGATAACTCTAAATCTGTTTTTCTTGTCAGCAAAATCTAGCGACGGCTACAAACAATTCAAAATTAACATTAAGGTGTTCGGTAAGATAAATACGTTGTTCACTGGTCCCTCGGGGCCCATGGGTTGATGTACCCTCGATATTTGTTTATGTTCCCCTCCCCCTTCGGGCTCAGGGAACATAAACAAACATCAAGGGTACATCAACCCATGCCCCCCCTTGTGACCAGTGAACAACTTATAATGTACTCGCTTGTGTTCATCTCAATTGGATATCCTAATTTTCCTTTGAGTAAACAAATATATTGTACTCACCTCACTGAGGCTCAATTGGGTATATTGCCCTTTACCATTAATTTTAAAAATATAATAAAGTTTAAATGTTAGTGTTTGTGATTTACATTTGATCTGTAATGTGAGAAACGATAAGAACGACTGCAAGTTCTCAAGGACATGTCCTGAAATAGAACCTCTCAATATACCTCAGTTGTTTTATCTGTCCATATGTACGCAAGCTAAGATAAGATTGGACATTTTTGTGTGTACGCATGTAAGATTGCATTTATTGAGTATTTACAAAAATTCAAGCGTACTTGTATGCAACAGACTTAATAGGAATTGAGTTTTCACATAAATATTTGCATAATTTATGCAAATACGCAGTTTATCTGTACCTCTGTGATTGAATCTCGTCTGCTTGATTGTATATGGTTTATGTTGCCTGACAGGATGCTTGTTTTACTAAACCATAGTTACCATGGTTACAGACATTACTTGTTATTTTGATTATCAATTAGGTCATTTTAAACACTTCATGTGTAAATGTTGTCCAATCTGTGATGTAATCAGCTTCAGTTTGCTTGAGTTATTGGCACGCTTGAAACAGATAATGTAGTTTGTCTAAGTACATATTAGCCCTGTACTGACTCTAAGGGTGGGTATTGCAGAGAATTTTCACATTGCGATATATTGCGATGCGAAAGCATGTATTGCAATATGTATTGCAATATATTGCATGAAGTATTTCTAAACAAAAACTACTTATGTCCAGTTAATGCTTGATTTATAGAGGAAAAACACAACAAAATCACTATGCTTGATTAAGCTTTAATAACAACTTTTAATCATGATAAAATATAAATGTAAATAATATTTGACACAAACAAAACAAGGAAATATCCGAAGATTTCCAAGTGTTACGAAGTTTTCCGAATGCAAGTCAAAATACCGGTTTTCGATCAGCGTATCGCAATACGTATCGTTTTCACGTCTGAACCGGTAAATACCAGTTATATTGAGCAGCCCTAACTGACTCCCCATGCTTGTTGTAAGAGGCGACTAACGGGATCGGGTGGTCAGGCTCCCTGACTTGGTTGACTCATGTCATCATATCCCAATTGCATAGATCGATGCTCATAATGTCAGTCACTGGATTGTCTGGTCCAGATCTGATTATTTACAGAAAGCAGCAATATAGCTGGAATATTGCTGAGTGCAGCATAAAACTAAACTCACTCACTACTATTAATTGCTTTTTGCATTACAAAAAATATCATTGAAATGTTTCAAAACAAGCAGTTATATGACATGTCTGTAATTTAATTCTTTGATATTAAACATTAAGTGTTCATGAATAACATATTTGTGTTTCTTACTGTATATTTGTGAAACATATTGTCTGCACCTCATGGTATATTCATTAAAGCTATACTGAACATACCTCTTAGTGATGTTAGTCAACAGTCTTTTAAAAAAATGATCTAATTTGTATCGCAGATTCAACATGAAATAATATTATGAACAAATCCTGAATCCGTTTATTTACCTATTTACATTTTAGCGTCACCCAGGCCCTATTTACACACTAACTGTTCATTGCCTGAAACCAGCGGACCTTGAACACATCCACCTGTTGTCCAGCCTGTTATTTTTACATCCATCAGTACGTCTAGTCTATGGGAACTCACCACAGTAATGAGTAAGGATAAACTGTATGGATGAACAGCTTGTCTATTTACAATGTGGAGGGACATTTCAGTGTAGATTCTATCACCTTTTTCAAGTCATGTACAGGGTTGTGTTGGGTGGTGGTGGTGGAATTGGGTTTAACGTCGTACTGGAGAATATTTCGCTCATATGACTACGTGCATGCGTGTGTATGTGTATGTGCGGCTGCTTGTACTAGCCCAGACTGGAGCTGGTTTTAGAGTGCTAGCCCACTGAGATACCATGCTGCAGTGAAGCATGAATACCCCACTCAGAGGGAATGGCACATAAGTGTCACATTAATCTAGTTCAAGAGAGAGTCACATTCATCTTGTGAAGGAGGGAGTGCCACATAAATCTAGGGAAAGAGGGAATGGCACATAAGTGCCACATAAATCTAAAAGAGAATGGCATATGACGTCATAAAAGGAAGGAGGGCCACATTGTGCCAGGGGAGGATGGGTGTCATATTGAAGCATGGGTGATGTTTTAGAGGGGAGCGGACAGGGAAATACATAAGCAGAAAGTAGTTTTACTTGCAAGTATAGTTGGTGCCCAAAACAAAAAGTAAAATATTTTATGACTATTAAAGCAAGGCATTCCAATACCTCTAAGCAACAAGTAGAACAGACATGCTTTTTCTGTAACATATCCGGGCCTGTTCATTGACTGTGGAACACAACATTATTTGTTGTAAAGAATCAACACAACAGAATGACAGAATATTAAATTCAAATTCATGTTTACTTCAAATGTTAAACTCAAGGTTAAGATGCTCCCAACGAGTCTCAATGTTATCAAGATTATACAACAGGTATCACATTGTCTATACGTGTTCGACTATGTCACTGTCATCGCTGATAGTACAACTGTTTCTTCCATGCATCACTCATGCACTCACAAAAGCTGATCAACCTTATAGCAGTGTTATCGTTGTACTTTGCAGAAGATAAGAGGAGGGATAGTTGGGTCGTCTTCCTGAGTTAGTCCTGCACTATCGACACCACAGCCATGGCAGAAAGCAGTAATTCTTACGACTTGGCCAAGACGGACTTGAATGAGAAAAATGAGAAGAACCAAACAGAGGACTCTTCCACAGCAGCATCTACGTATTTCAATGAACGGATACCCATCCCTGATGTTGGGAATGTAAGTACAGGATTTGCAGAGTCCTATGATTGCTTGTTTGGTTACTATGGTTACATCATCCCTAGATGAGCTGCTAGGTGTCATACTATGATAGGTCATATGTTTCATTTTTCCTGATGTCAGATTTTGAAGTGTTTAATTATTTTGAATGACAAGTTATTATCTTGTTCTACCAATCCTGCTTTTTAAAATGACATTTTAGGTATGTCCAATGTCCCCCGGTGGGGTGTCAGCAAGTTTGTACGTGAATTTTAGGGGTGGGGCCATTCACATTGTACTTGCTTCTCCATACAAACTAATTGAAGTAAGTAAACTTGCAACATCAACACATTAAGTGGTCTCCCATTTTCTGGTGTTGGGATTCATCGTTTAAAATCTGAATAAGATTCAGTCTTCAAAAACTTTCTAAAAATCAGTTGTTGTTCATTGGGAATAGATACTCTCCTTTTGGATGTAAGTTTATGGTGCATATTTTGGGAAACTTTATGGCATGTGTTTCCTTAATTGGCTAGATGTGGAAGCTCCATTTGAATTAGCCATTGACTTTGTTTGAATTCGCGATTTGAACATGTCTGAAATAATCATTTGAATTCATTTGAACCCATCTGAATTAACCATTTAAATGCATTTGAACCAATCTGAATTAACCATTTAAATGCATGTGAATCCATCTGAATTAACCATTTAAATGCATTTGAGCCCATCTGAATTAACCATTTAAATGCATTTGAACCCATCTGAATTAACCATTTAAATGCATGTGAATCCATCTGAATTAACCATTTAAATGCATTTGAACCCATCTGAATTAACCATTTAAATGCATTTGAATCCATCTGAATTAACCATTTAAATGCATTTGAATCCATCTGAAGTAACCATTTAAATGCATTTGAACCCATCTGAATTAACCATTTAAATGCATTTGAATCTTTTGAATTAGCCATTTGAATCCATCATTTGAATTCAATTAACTATTTGAATTCATTTGAGTCCATTTGAATTAGTCATTTGAGTCCATTGATTCAGCCATTTGAATCCCTCAAAATTAACCATTTGTGGTAATCATTTTATGGAGACCTCTGTTATCATGACTATAGCAAAAACAATTATCCCATAAGTGTTGAACCTTACAGTACTTTAGTCCTGATTGTCTGTCACTACTGACAGCTCGCACAGAAGACTATATTTAGACATAGGGTTTTCCAGAATTATACTGAGCACATGTTGGTTAATTCACAAAGTAAATTTAAAATATACCATACTCACAAATAGTGTCTGTTGGTGTAGCCAAGTGGTTTAAGAGTTTGCTCGTTTTGCCAAAACCCAATTTTGATTTCCAACATGGAAACAATGTGTGAAGCCTATTTCAGGTGTTCCTTGCTTTGATATCAGTGATATTAGATTATTAGTGGGGTACACATGCATTATACTGGATACCTGCCGGAAAGGTGAAAAAATATAAACCTGAGATGAAAATAACCATAACCCTAACCCTAACCCTGCTAGGTATCCGGTATAATGCATTCAAGCCATTAGTGGAATACTGATAAAGCAGTATGAAATCATATTCCCTCACAAATAATATCTTTACAGCCACGGTTCAGTTTCCGGAAACTATGGGCTTTCACTGGGCCAGGCTTTCTGATGAGCATAGCTTACCTGGATCCAGGGAATATAGAATCCGATCTGCAGTCTGGTGCCGTTGCTCAGTTCAAGGTCAGTAATCGTGTTCGAAATATAGCTGGTATTGGAGTCAACCCACAGATGACCCACTTACCTTGTTACCTTACAGAGTTTATCTATCGGATCACAGATCATGTGTATATAGTGTCCACAACATTTCTTGATAACTCGACCGCCTCCGTGATTAGAGCGTCCGCCAAGAGAGCAGAAGGTCGCGGGTTCGAACCCTGGCCACATCATCATGATCATACCAAAAGACATTAAAATATGGTATTTGTTGGTCCCAGCCTGGCGCTCCGCATTCATGGGTATAACAAGGACTGGTGGACCTCGGAGTCAGTATAATGTGTCTTAGTGGGGTATTCATGCTTCACTGCGGCATGGTATCACAGTGGGCTAGCACTATAAAACTAGTACAAACAGCCGCACATACACATGCACGCACATCGTCATATGAGTGAAATATTCTCAAGTACAACGTTGAACCCCATTTCACCTCGCTTCCTAATAACTCCTGCTACCTACTCCTCTGTCAACAGATGGCTAGTCCAGGTTGTGTAGTTAGGTGCTGAGACTTATTTTGCTCAAATATAACATGTGTGTCATGTGATGGGATTTGAAACATGGACATTTGATCCAAAGTTGGAAACCTTGTCCACGTAACCAAAGAGGTCAACTCGATCTGCCAGTAAACAGTTCATACCTTTTACAGGACCAGATTTCTCAACTTCAAAAATTGAAAAATATTGACATCGGATTCACATGTTCACTGATGACTCTTGAGGCGGTGGGGTAGCCTAGTTGTTATAGCATTTTCTTGTTACGCCAAAGGCCCGGGTTCGATTCCCCACATGGGTACAATGTGTGAAGCCCATTTCTGGTGTACCCTGCTGTGATATTGCTGGAGCATTGCAAAAAGTGGTGTAAAACCCCCTCCCTCCCTCTCACTCACTCACTCACTCACTCACTCACTCACTCACTCACTCCACTCACTCACTCACTCACTCACTCACTCCACTCACTCACTCACTCACTCCCTCCGCCACTCCACTCCACTTCACCACTCACTCACCACTTCACCCACTCACTCCACTCACTCACTCCACTTACTTCACCCACCCACCAGCAGTCTATTGCCAGACTCACTCTCTCCATGATCATTCCTGTGTTTGTGTTCCAGCTGCTATGGGTTCTACTGGCGTCCACCCTCCTGGGACTGATGTTGCAGCGTCTGTCTGCCCGCCTCGGAGTTGTCACGGGGATGCATCTAGCCGAGGTCTGTTACCGGCAGTACCCTAAGTCATCCCGTCTAATATTGTGGATCATGGTAGAGATAGCCATCATTGGCTCCGACATGCAAGAGGTCATCGGAACGTCCATTGCTATATATATATTATCAAATGGAAAGTAAGTAAACATGATGATGTTTGTAATTTAAAAAAATATACCTTGTTAGTGCAAGAGAAACTTGATGTTGTTTTATCTTGAAACATATACCACAGTAGTGCAAGAGAATACCCAGACTTGACTTTAATCGGAAACAGATTGCATTAGGTAAGGGAAAAGAGCTGTGACTATGATAAGAATGGATCTCTGAAAATCAAGGATGACACCAGGTGTGATCAAAGTCTAAATACAAAAATGTACCTTGTATCCTAAACGGAGGATGAGTCCATATTCCGCAACCCAAACCAAAACAATGTGTAGTTGTGCCCTTTCGCCTGATTGCGAGTGGTATTGTCCATCTAAAATATTCATTAATGTGCATGCTCAATTCTTATTAACACAATCAAATCCAACTCATACAATAGTATGACTGTTCCTATCAAGAAAAGGCACAATTTGGAATGGACTCGTCCTTGGGTACGTTTCTGCATTCTAATTTTGCCATGGGTATACATTTGTAGTACCTTGCTGACAACCACCCCCCACAGGGTAAGCCATAGACTAACGCTTAGTCTCTGAATATGTATAATTTTGATTGAAACAATTACATCCATTTAAATTGAAAAGGAGCCCCAGGGAAACCAGAAATTCAGAACCTGGAGAAATCTAGACTTGCTTCATTTAGAACTTTAGCATTGCACCTGTGAAGGTCCGGGTTAGAATTGATCTTTAATAACCCATTATTGTCGTAAGAGGCGACTAACGGGGTCGAGTGGTCAGGTTCGCTGGCTTGGTTGACACATGTCATCGGTTCCCGATCACTGGATTGTCTGGTCCAGACTCGATTATTGACAGACTGCCGCCATATAGCTGTAATATTGCTGAGTGCGGCATAAAACTAAGCTCACTCACTCACTTTAGCATTGCAGGTAGGGCTAGGCTGTTGGGAAAATAATTCAGGGAATGTGAGACAGACTAGGTAAGCCACCATTCTGTAATTTTCTAAGAGGACAATTTTTTTGTTTCAGAATCCCTCTGTATGGTGGAGTAATCATCACTATAGCAGACACCTTCACATTCCTGCTGCTGGACAAATACGGCCTACGGAAGTTGGAAGCTTTCTTCGCCTTCCTGATCACTGTGATGGCAGTAACATTTGGCTATGAGGTGACTTGCCCTGGATGAATAGAATGTGTGGTGGTTCCAAGTTCCAAATGCGTTAAACAATTCATTCCCCAAAAATATATGTTTGTTGAGTTGTGAATAGTAAAGAGATATGGTTATTATTGAATATTTCTTGTGTGAAAAATTCTTGCAATTAATTAAAATGAAACAAACTGTAACTGTGAATGATATTGACATATTTGTTTGATTTGTGTCTACTGTTGTATGTGGTGGTACCCCATTGTCTGTTGTTGCCTTGTGTGAGTAATGTGTGGTGTCATCCCATTGTCTGTTGTTGCCCTGTGTGAGTGATGTGTGGTGTCATCCCATTGTCTGTTGTTGCCCTGTGTTAGTGGTGTGTGGTGTCATCCCATTGTCTGTTGTTGCCCTGATATGTGGTGGTGGCCCATTGTCTGTTGTTGTCCTGTGTGAGTGATGTGTGGTGGTGGCCCATTGTCTGTTGTTGTCCTGTGTGAGTGATGTGTGGTGGTGGCCCATTGTCTGTTGTTGCCCTGTGTGAGTGATGTGTGGTGGTGGCCCACTGTCTGTTGTTGTCCTGTGTGAGTGATGTGTGGTGGTGCCCCACTGTCTGTTGTTGTCCTGTGTGAGTGATGTGTGGTGGTGGCCCATTGTCTGTTGTTGCCCTGTGTGAGTGATGTGTGGTGGTGGCCCACTGTCTGTTGTTCTGTGTGAGTGATGTGTGGTGGTGGCCCATTGTCTGTTGTTGCCCTGTGTGAGTGATGTGTGGTGGTGCCCCACTGTCTGTTGTTGCCCTGTGTGAGTGATGTGTGGTGGTGCCCCATTGTCTGTTGTTGCCCTGTGTGAGTGATGTGTGGTGGTGCCCCATTGTCTGTTGTTGCCCTGTGTGAGTGATGTGTGGTGGTGGCCCATTGTCTGTTGTTGCCCTGTGTGAGTGATGTGTTTTGGTGGCCCATTGTCTGTTGTTGCCCTGTGTGAGTGATGTGTGGTGGTGCCCCATTGTCTATTGTTGTCCTCTGTGAGTGATGTGTGGTTGTGCCCCAGTGTCTGTTGTTGCCCTCTCTGTGTGATGTGTGGTTGTGCCCCATTTTCTGTTGTTGCCCTCTGTAAGTGATGTGTTTTGGTGGCCCATCGAGTGTTGTTGTCCTATGTGAGTGATGTGTTTTGGTGGCCCATCGAGTGTTGTTGTCCTATGTAAGTGATGTGTTTTGGTGGCCCATCGAGTGTTGTTGTCCTATGTCAGTGATGTGTTTTGGTGGCCCATCGACTGTTGATGCCCATTCAGAATGCTGTGTTGCATTTCAGTACATAGTGGTGGCCCCTGACCAGGGTGAGGTGATGAAGGGGCTGTTTATCCCATACTGCAGTGACTGTGGCTCCACTCAGCTGATGCAGGGGATCGCCATGGTGGGGGCTATCATCATGCCCCACAATATCTACCTACATTCAGCACTTGTCAAGGTGAGACTTTCCTGAAACCTGATCCTGAACACAGAAATGAAGTTAAATACATTTGGTTGATAGGGTGTTATTTTTAACTTTCTTTGAAATGTGGACATTCAAACAAGATCTGTATTTTGTCACTGACACTGACATGCACTTGTCTGGAGCCCTATAAAACAGGCATACATCTGGAGCCTTGTAAGACAGGCATACGTCTGGAGCCCTATAAGACAGGCATACATCTGGAGGCCTACATGGCAGGCATATGTCTGGAGCCCTAAATGACAGGCATACATCTGGAGCCCTATAAGACAGGCATACATTTGGTGCCCTAAGTCACAGGATATATCTGGAGCCCTATAAGACAGGCATATATCTGGAGCCCTAAATGACAGGAAACATCTGGAGCCCTAAAAGACAGGCATACATCTGGAGCCCTATAAGACAGGCATACATCTGGAGCCCTATAAGACAGGCATACATCTGGAGCCCTATAAGACAGGTATACATCTGGAGCCCTAAATGACAGGCATACATCTGGAGCCCTATAAGACAGGCATATATCTGGAGCCCTATAAGACAGGCATACATCTGGAGTCCTACAAGACAGGCATATGTCTGGACAAGTACAAGCTGCTGAACACACATTTAATCCACATTGATTTGTAAGGGCTACAATGTCAACATTTACAACCCATTTCACCTCACCTCAACTGGCCTAAAAGCTTCAGTAATGATAATCTTTAGTCATATTTTGTCCCAGATTGTCTTTTATGGGCACTTTGTTAGGATCCGAAAACATTCTGCCATGTTCAAAAGTCCTGTAAACTTAGCATTCCTGGACATCAAAAGGACAACCTGACTGGCAATACTATCGTCTCTTTTTATGTTTCAGTCCAGAGAAGTAGACCGGAGCAAGAAGACTGAAGTCAGTGAGGCCAACTTCTACTTCTTTGTAGAAGCTATAATTGCCTTATTTGTGTCCTTCATTATCAACCTGTTTGTGGTGTCAGTGTTTGCTGAAGGACTTTACAACAAAACCACAGATGAGATTGTAAGCATGATCAAGCTTTCTAGATTCTTACTTCTTCTTTAGTCAGCGGTATCCCCACTATGTCATGTCAGTCTGTAAATAACCTGTGAAGATCTCTGTTGGTGTGGTGATGTTCTGTTTTGACTAGTAAGATCTGACTAACGGGATCGGGTGATCAGACTCGCTGACTTGGTTGCTCATGTCATCGGTTCCCAATTGCGCAGGTCGATGTTCATTCTGTTGATCACTGGATTGTCTGGTCAAGACTCGATTATATACAGACCGCCGCCATATAGCTGGAATATTGCTGACTGCAGCGTTAAACAACTAACCAATTAAATAAACCAGCATGTGGCTAACTATTTGATTTGAAATGTTGTCAAATTGGATTTGTAACGTGACAGTTTCTTCCCTTTTCCGACATGTGAAGATCCGGGTTCGAATTGATCTCTCGTGACCCATGCTTGTTGTAAGAGGACTAACTTGATTGGGTGGTCAGACTCTATGACTTGGTTGACACATGTCATCGTATTCTAATTGTGTAGATCGATGCTCATGCTGTGATCACTGGATTGTCTGGTCCAGATTTGATTATTTACAGACTGCCACCATCAAGCTGTAATATTGCTGAGTGCAGTGTAAAACTAAACTCAAGCAATCAATCTTCCCTTTTCCTGTGTTCTGACCGAACTGATTTTGTATTTCGGTCCCATTTCAGTACAAAAGCTGTCTTGCCGCTGACAACATACATGCATCTGTCTTTAATGTAAGTAATTTTGACTTATCATGAATTCTTTTATATTACAATCTCGAGATATCATTATGTTTTTCTCCAGTCTGTTAGACCTGTAAAGGTCCGGGTTAGAATTGATCTTTAGTAACCCATGCTTGTCGTAAGAGGCGACTAATGGGATCGGGTGTTCAGGCTCGCAGACTTGGTTGACACATATCATCATATCCCAGTTGCATAAATCGATGCTCATGCTGTTGATCACTGGATTGTCTGTTACAGACTCAATTATTTACAGGCCGCTGCCATATAGCTGGAATATTGCTGAGTGTGGCATAAAACTAACCTCACACACACCTGTTCATGATGAGAGAGGGTTGTGTCAGTTAACTATCTAATCAGCCAATCAGCTTTGGGGCTTCAAGTCTCCCAATGTTGTTATGGAGTTTGATATACTCTATCACTCTGAGTGCCACAGCATCTGTACTAAGGGAATATTTGTGTCCTTTAAAGGTTTTCTTTTGTATAAGTCCAAATGTATCCATCAAGATGTTTAAGAAATCAAGCTGTTGTTCTCTGTTCTGTAGAACTGTTTTATTGAGGAGACTTCTTGTGTATTCAGCTCATGCATGTTTCCTTCAACAGGTGAGTGATGGGGCTGATAATCTGGTTACAGTCGACATCTACAGAGGGGTGAGTTGATGCCAGCTGATGGTTGGCCAGTGTTGGTTTAGTTGCTGATTGATGAGTAGGAGCATAGTTGGTGTTGTGAGGAGGGTGAGAGGTGAGTTGGGTGAGGTGAGATGAAGTGAGGTTAAATGGGTTGGGGTTAGGTTAGGTGAGATGAAGTGAGGTTAGGTGGGGTGGGTTAGGTTAGGTGAGATGAAGTGAAGTTAGGTGGGGTGGGGTTAGGTTAGGTGAGATGAAGTGAGGTTAGGTGGGGTGGGGTTAGGTGGGATGGGGTTAGGTTAGGTGAGATGTGGGGTTAGGTGAGAGGTTAGGTGGGGTGGGGTTAGGTGAGATGAAGAGGTGAGGTGGGGTGGGGTGGGGTTAGGTTAGGTGAGATGAAGTGAGGTTAGGTGGTGGTTAGGTAGGGTTAGGTGGAATGGGGTTAGGTTAGGTGAGATGAAGTGAAGTTAGGTGGGGTGGGGTTAGGTTAGGTGAGATGAAGTGAGGTTAGGTGGGGTGGGGTTAGGTGGGATGGGGTTAGGTTAGGTGAGATGAAGTGAGGTTAGGTGGGGTGGGGTTAGGTGAGATGAAGTGAGGTTAGGTGGGGTGGGGTTAGGTGAGATGAAGTGAGGTTAGGTGGGGTTAGGTTAGTTCAGATGAGGTGAGGTGAAATGAGGTTAGGTGGTGTAGGGTTAGGTGAGATGAAGTGGGTTTAGGTGAGATGAAGTGAGGTCAGGTGGGGTGACGTGAGGTGAGGTGAGATGATATGGGGTTAGGTGGGGTGAGATGAAGTGAGGTTAGGTGGTGTAGGGTTAGGTGAGGTGAGATGAAGTGGCGTTAGGTGAGATGAAGTGAGGTCAGGCAGGGTGGGGAAAGGTGAGGTGAGATGAAGTGGGGTTAGGTGAGGCGAGATGAAGTGAGGTTAGGTGGTGTAGGGTTAGGTGAGGTGAGATGAAGTAGGGTTAGGTGAGATGAAGTGAGGTGGGGTGAGGTGAGGTGAGATAAAGTGGGGTGAGGTGAGATGAAGTGAGGCTAGGTGGTGTAGGGTTAGGTGAGGTGAGATGAAGTAGGGTTAGGTAAGATGAAGTGAGGTCAGGTGGGGTGGGGTGAGGTGAGGTGAGATGAAGTGGGGTAGGGTTAGGTGATGATGATGTTAATGTTTTAGATGGGTCACATCTTTTTCTTTTGCACTGTTGGTTATAATAATGTGTGTTACATATATTGATAGTGTACCTCCTACTTTAAACAGGTGATGCCAATGTGTAATGTTTTTGTTTGTTGTCCGGTTCATGCCACACTCACCAATATTCCAAGAATGATTCCAAATCAGATCTTTGTTGGTCCTTTATGTAATAATACTATTCATTTGATCGTTCTTTAGGGAGTGTTTCTAGGATGTCAGTTCGGAGTCGCTGCCATGTACATTTGGGCAGTAGGGATCCTGGCCGCCGGTCAAAGTTCCACCATGACTGGCACTTACACTGGACAGTTTGTGATGGAGGTGAGAATATTGTATTAATAAACTAATTTCCTATGTAAGTGACTGAGTGAGTGAGTGAGTATGGTTTTACGCAGCTTTTAGCAATATTCCAGCAATATCACGGTGGGGGACACCAGAAATGGGCTTCACACATTGTACCCATGTGGGGAATCAACCCGGCCTTTGGATTGACAAGTGAATGCTTTAACCACTAGGCTACCCACCTCCCCTCTTGTAAAGGACATGATTAGATCATAAACTGATAACTAATACTATGTTTATCGACTTCAGGGTTTCTTGAACTTGACGTGGAAGAGATGGCAGCGTGTGTTACTGACCCGAAGCATCGCCATCCTTCCAACAGTGTTTGTAGCAATATTCCAAGGCATCGAGAACCTGACTGTGATGAACGACCTGCTCAATGTGCTGATGAGTCTTCAGCTGCCCTTCGCCCTCATCCCCATCCTGACCTTCACCAGCTCCCCTGAGATCATGGGGAGCTTCTCCAACGGCGTGTAAGTACCTCGTTCTTGATCTTCAGGTGAAATTCTTGATACATAGGTCGCGATACTATAATATTGCGATGTGCAGGTAATGATACAATACAGAATCAGAACTATTTTTATGGATATACAACTTCTTTATTCTATATAGGTGTCATTGCCAAGCGAGTTGTGACAACGAAATTAGAATCTATGTTGAAACGTCGCCTATATAGAATAAAGAAGTTGTATATCCATAAAAATAGTCCTCATTCTTCATCTACCCAACTTCTAGAATGGCAATCAAAGAAATGATACAATACATAATGTGATATGTATGCCATGATAATATACCTATTGCGATATGAAGGTCGTGATACTATTCGTATTGCGATATGTAGGTCATGATACTATACTTATTATGATACGCAGGTCACCATACTCTACATATTGTGATACATATGTCATGAAACTATATCTGTTGCAATAAGTAAGTGGTGATAAAACGTATTGTGATACATTGGTCATGATACTGTCATGGTCTGTCTCATAACCCCTGAACTACATTATTGTCCCTACTTCCTAGCCCTCCCCGCATTGCTAAAGCCCTAAAGGAATCTCCCATCTCACTGGGGTTCCTTTTCAATTTAAATGGGATTATTTGTTACTATCAAAATTATATATTCAGAGACTAAGCCTTAGTCTACATGTAGTGTAAAAATTGTGATTCAGATTGTTGATTTCTAATATCTAATCATATGTTATGCATTAATGTTTGTATCCAGTTTGTGTTCGGTTGAACAACAAATACAAAATGCCATTTTTGTTAAAGCCTCATTGTTTCCTTAGATTTAACTTGATGACCAAACTGAAAACTTTGAACACATTTTTGTCTAATTTAGCTTCCAATAACCTTAGATATGCAATTAAAGCAAAACCTCATGTATTTAACTGCACATCACAAATTTGTTTGTAAATGTTAAGACTGTTGAATACAATGAATGCATATTGTGACTGCAATATCATTTATTGATTGAGTTGGTGGGGTAGCCTAGTGGTTAAAGAACTCGCTCGTCACGCCGAAGACCCGGGTTCGATTCCCCATATGGGTACAATGTATGAAGCTCATTTTTGGTGTCCCCTACCGTGATGTTTGCTCCTCCCTCCTCCCTCCTTCACTCCTTCACTCCTTCACTCATAGTGCAACAGACAGCCTGGAATACCAATAGTTTCCAATCTCAAATCACCCCTTGTATGCATATTGGTCACTGATAAGTGATTCATTGGTGCCCAATGTCTTTCTTACAGTGCTAGATATTGTCATTTTCTGGCTCCATGGTGAGCAGTATATACAAGATAATACAGTACTCCCTTTGTTCTCTGCAGTATCATGAAGATCATAACTACCCTTCTGGCTGTGGTCGTTATTGTCATCAACCTCTTCTTCGTCGTCGTCTACATCCAGCAAGCACCTGCTCACTGGGCTATTTACCTTGGTGTGGCCATCATTGTTGCCTTCTACATTTGTTTTGTTGCCTATCTGGTAAGTAGACTCGGCTTGACAAATACCCAGGTCAACGTGACAATTTCATCACTTTCAAATTTCTAGCCCTACCCAGCTTGGACAATAAACTGTTACTTGTTTCCCAAGTTTGAAATACTGGAAATCTGACTGACTTGTTGCATTTTTCAGGCTATAGTTTGTATGGCAATGATGGGAGCAGATTTTCTCAAGAAACTTTCGGTAAGAGATTTATTATCTTCATTTTAGCCCCTGCCCTATTCCATTCCAGGCATCGAGTGTTGGTCATGTTTTCAGTCAAAGATGTGTCTGTCCCATACTCCAGGGCCGCGATCCTCAAAGCGTTTGTAGAGTTACAAGCCGCCGAAACTATATAGTTTATCACTGGATTAAGAATGATGTAGTTCTATGAATGCTTTGTGGATTGGGCCCCTGATCCATAAGTAAGAGAAATAATTTGCTGACTGTTGCATTAAACAACATTCAGTCACTTACCCATGTCCCGTACCCAAGCTGGTGAGAAGTACATGTGCTTGACTTTGTCAGTAACAGATGGGGTGGTGGGGTATCCTAGTGCTTAAAGCGTTTGCTCATTATGCCGAAGACCCAGGTTCGATTCCCCACATGGGTACAATGTGTGAAGCCCATTTCTGGTGTCCCCCGCTGTGATATTGCTTGAATATTGCTAAAAGCGTAAAACTAAACTCACTCACGAACACTGTAATAGACAGAATTCCTGACTGTCCCTGTAATTGTCTTTGAGGTCTTGGTCATCCATGGTTTTAAGTGTTCCAATTGACTTTGGCCTCGTAAGTTCTTGTTTGCACCTGCTACATAATTTTGACAGCTTCTGACAAATATGCAGCTTCAACAATAGACTGATGACAGAAGTTCTTTTTCTATCTGAGTTAAAAAATAATAGAGATCCTTATTGATCTGAGTTCAATAATATTCTGAGATCCTCATTGCTCTAAGGTCAATTATATCCCGATATCCTTTTTGCTCTAAGGTCTATAATATTCTGAGATCCTTATTGATCTGAGGTCTATAATATTCTGAGATCCTCTTTGCTCTAAGGTCTATAATATTCTGAGATCCTTATTGATCTGAGGTCTATAATATTCTGAGATCCTCTTTGCTCTAAGGTCTATAATATTCTGAGATCCTCTTTGCTCTAAGGTCTATAATATTCTGAGATCCTCATTGCTCTAAGGTCTATAATATTCTGAGATCCTTATTGATCTGAGGTCTATAATATTCTGAGATCCTTATTGCTCTAAGGTCTATAATATTCTGAGATCCTTTTTGCCCTAAGGTCTATAATATTCTGAGATCCTCATTGCTCAAAGGTCTATAATATTCTGAGATCCTTATTGATCTGAGGTCAATAATATTCTGAGGCCCTTTTGATAATATTCTGATCTAAGGTCTATAATATTCTGAGATCCTCTTTGCTCTAAGGTCTATATTGATCCTCATTGCTCTAAGGTCTATAATATTCTGAGATCTTATTGATCTGAGGTCTATAATATTCTGAGATCCTTATTGCTCTAATCTATAATATTCTGAGATCCTTTTTGCCCTAAGGTCTATAATATTCTGAGCTCAAATCCTGAGATCTTATTGATCTCATAAGGTCTATAATATTCTGAGATCCTTATTGATCTAAGGTCTATAATATTCTGATCTAAGGTCTATAATATTCTGAGATCCTTATTGATCTAAGGTCAATAATATTCTGAGATCCTTATTGATCTAAGGTCTATAATATTCTGAGATCCTTATTGATCTAAGGTCTTTAATATAATATTCTGAGGTCTATAATATACCAATGCCTCTTATTGATCTAAGGTCTATAATATTCTGAGATTCTTATTGATCTAAGGTCTATAATATTCTGAGATCCTTATTGATCTAAGGTCTTTAATATTCTGAGATCCTTTTTGATCTAAGGTCTATAATATTCTGAGTTCCTTATTGATTCAAGTAATATTCAGATATTTATCCTTGGTCTTTGATAGTCATGATAAACAGTATCGTTTCTGTATACCAATGCCTCACTTATCCAGAAGATTTACTACCATATAGCTTGAATGTTGCTGAGTGTGGTGTAAACCTAAACACAGTCACTCACCTAGAAGATTTCACTTTCAGTGTTCTGTTGAAATTAACAATGTTTCTACTGAAGTAGAAATCTGGATTCCTCAGTCCCAGTTTAGTGCGTACCACTGTTAACACAGACAAATCTACCAACAAAAGGCAGAATATCACATCCAAAATTCTAATGCTTGGTTTCTGCTGTGTTTGTGAAAAAAAGTACTTTTTAGACATGCCATTCATTACTGCAGTGAACACTACTTGATTTGAAACACGAATAATTAAATATTTTATTTAATTAATTATAGGCTATTTATATAGCACACATATCCAGGCAACTAGTGCTTGCTCAAGGTGCTGGTATTTTTTCCGCTCTCTCACTGGATGTCAATCTCAACGGCACATCATATTATCAATCTCAACTCCCTGGGGAGTATACAACTCTTGCAGCCACCAGGCACACCGAGTTATTGTGGCTTTCCCATCCTTACAAGGTACCCATTCACAGCTGGGTGGACTAGGACACATAGTCACAGTACTTTGTCCAAATTTACCGCTCGTTGCTGTACCCACAACTAGGTGTTTGCACGTATTCATGTGGCCACCATCTAGTCATTTAAGTGCACAGGGTTGTGTACTGTACACTAGGGGTTGTGACAACACTGAAAGAGTCTGCACACAAAGTTGACTCCAAGGTTTTTACACCCGGTCACAGGTGGGCTCGATCCCGACGCCTCAACCTTGCTGGATCACTAGCCTGGAGCCTTAGCCAGCTCGCCCACCATGCCCCAATTAATAAAACATAACATTACAAATTGCACCATGGGCAGGAGGACACAAGATGAATTGCATCATTATTACATGATTGATCAGATCTGCCCAAAATATAGTGTTATTTTGACCTTTCTGATAGTGAGTGAGTTTAGTTTTACGATGCACTCATCAATATTTCAGCTATATGGCGTCAGTCTGTAAATAATCGAGTCTGGACCAGGCAATCCAGTGATCAACAGCACGAACATTGATCTATGCAATTGGGATAGGATGACATGTGTCAACCAAGTCAGCGAGCCTGATCACCCGATCCCGTTAGTCACCTCTTACGACAAACATGGGTTACTGAAGATCAATTCTAACCTGGATCTTCACAGGTCCTTTCTGATGGTACCATGCTGGTTCTCCATTTCAACTTTTTGCAAAATTTATAGAATTAAGCTCAAGCTCAGTCCTGTTTATTTTTCAATTTTATGTCACCAGATATTTGGCCACTGGATTGTCCCTAGAAGCAGCAGCCACCTTCAGCATGATGCCATCGACGGCGAACCGGCGACTGAGATGTCAACTGCAGCCAACGAGACCAATAAACAATTGTATCGAAGCATTCCAGAATAACCATGTTTTAGATTATTTTTACGAATAAACTATATTTAGTCCATATATATATATATATACTTAAAGGAGTAAAACCGATCACATCCTTGAATACTGGATCCTGGAATACTATGATGTCATCCTTGAATGCAGTGATGTCATCCTGGAAGAATGTGATGTCATCCTTGAATGCTGTGATGTCATCCTTGAATGCTGTGATGTCATCCTTGAATGCTGTGATGTCATCCTGGAAGAATGTGATGTCATCCTTGAATGCTGTGATGTCATCCTCGAAGAATGTGATGTCATCCTGGAAGAATGTGATGTCATCCTTGAATGCTATGATGTCTTCCTTGAATGGTGTAATGTCATCCTTGAATACTGTGATATGGATGAAGTTACACGCTTTCTTGACAACTAAACTCACATTGTGAGAAGAAAATAACTGATGAAATAAATAAAGTTGTTAAGAATTTATCATGTTTTACAAGGATGAAATCGCAGAATATATTCCTATTTGTTTTACAATGGACAGTGCAATGAGTGGAATGTAGTTTCTATTTTCTGTGTACACAAAGCAAATAGAAAGGTCTACATCATGCTACATATTGACTGAGATTTGTTTTACGTAGTATTTCTGAGACAATAGAAGCTGGGATACTAGAATGGATCTTGGGAACCAGAATCTGTCTTTGGTACTAGAATGGATCTTGGGAACCAGAATCTGTCTTTGGTACTAGAATGGATCTTGGGAACCAGAATCTGTCTTTGGTACTAGAATGGATCTTGGGAACCAGAATCTGTCTTTGGTACTAGAATGGGTCTTGGGAACCAAAAATCAGTCTTTGGTACTAGAATGGATCTTGGGAAGCAGAATCGGTCTTTGGTACTAGAATGGATCTTAGGAACCAAAATTGGTCTTTGGAACTAGAATGGGTCTTAGGAACCAGAATCTGTCTTTGGTACTAGAATGGATCTTGGGAACCAGAATCGGTCTTTGGTACTAGAATGGGTCTTGGGAACCAAAATCGGTCTTTGGTACTAGAATGGGTCTTGGGAACCAAAATCGGTCTTTGGTGTTAGAATGGATCTAGGGAAACAGAGTCGGTCTTTGGCATTAGAATAGATCTTTGGAACCAGAATTGGTCTTTAGGACTAGAATGGATCTTAGGAACCAGAATTGGTCTTTGGCACTAGAATAGATCTTTTGAACCAGAATCGGCCTAGAATGGATCTTGGGAACCAGAATCTGTCTTTGGTACAAAATGGGTCTTTGGAACCAAAATTGGTCTTTGGAACTAGAATGGATCTTGGTAACCAGAAGCGGTCTTTGGTACTATAATGGATATTTGGAACAAAAATCGGTCTTTGGTTCTAGAATTGATCTTGGTAACCAGAATCAGTCTTTGTTACTAGAATCGATCTTGTGAACCAGAATTGGTCTTGGTACTAGAATGGATCTTGGGAACCAGAATAGGTCTTGGTACTAGAATGGATCTTGGGAAGCAGAATTGCTCTTTGGTAATAGATTTGGTCTTGGGTACAGTTAACGGGTATACATTCTGGACCAAGTATGGAAACATTGCACTGAGTATTTAGAATACAGTGTAAATTATGTCAAGATTATCCTTTTTATGTTTATTTGAGAAACACCCAGGACCTCCATCAGTTCAGGTTGCCCTTCTACACCAAACTGACAGGCAGTAATGTACCTAAAATACTGTTTATAGCAGTTCTTAAGCCAATTCACTCAATCAGTGAATACTCATGATCACAATAAATGTCTCAAAATTTAAGCTGTAAGTAAGCTGTGTTCTATTCAATATAGTACAATGTGTGATATCCATTTCTGGTATCCCCTCCCAGAGTGCCTGTGATAGTGCACAGGTATTGGTTTGAGAGGCGTAAAATATTACTTGCTCAATCTTTATCGCAGTTGTAAGATTTTCCTATTATTTACATCATATTTTGTATACTGTGACTACCAATGAAGATTATTGACATTAGAGATTTTTGTCCATGGACTTCATCTGGACTTCTACATGGCCCAGGTGAATATTGCTGAGCCTGTATGACGTGAACGCTTCAAAGGACATGGTCACAATATAGACCTATTACTATAGTAGTCTATCCTTCTTCCAAGAAAGTGTTAATGTGATTACTATTAATCTTGGTGTATACTTTGTCTGCAATGGGTCCCCTCTTTTTAAATATTTTGGTTAAGATGATATTATGACAACTTACAATGCTACCTCTGGTTATGGAATGTCATTTGAAACATACACACAAACACACACATCTTTAGGGGATTACTTTTATATCAGTGAGATGGTTTTACACTTATCAGACAGGTTCACAAAGACCGTGGTCTAGGCTACCAGTTGTCCGACTTCCATTTTTGTGGAAGCCGCGGTAGCTGAGTGGGCTAGACAGCTGTCTTTGTGTGCTGGTGATTAGGTGCCTGTCTCTGAGGTGTAGGTTCGAATCCCGGATGGGACTCAACCCAACAAAATTACTAGAATCTGTACTGTACTAAGAAAGTGTAATCGCAAATATACCGTGTGTTATCTTCTTGTTGTTATTCTCAAATTAAACAGTAAACAGGTTTGCATCGAAATAGACATGTCTATGAATACACAATGACATTTATAAATTTGGGATTACACTTTCTAGTAGATTCTAGTACTTTTGTTTGCTTGAGTCCCATCCAGGATTCGAACCCATACTCCCAGAGTCAGGCACCAAATCGCCAACACATGAAGTCATCCCTTTAACCCACGATCAGGTGCCTGCCTGAGTATGGTACGAGACGACTAAGGGGATCGGGTGGTCAGGTAAGCTGACTTGGTTGACACATGTCATTGTATCTCAGTTGTGTAGGGGGCGGTGGGGTAGCCTAGTGGTTAAAGCGTTGGCTCGTCACGCCGAAGACCCGGGTTCGAATCTCCACATGGGTACAATTTGTGAAGCCCATTTCTGGTGGCCCCCGCCGTGATGTTGCTGGAATATTGCTAAAAGCGGCGTAAAACCAAATTCAGTCAGTCAGTCAGTCAGTTGTGTAGATCACTACTCATGCTGTTGATCACAGGATTGCCTGGTTCAGACTCGATTATTTACAGACCACCGTCATATGGCTGGAATATTGCTGAGTGCGGTGTAATACTAAACTCACTCACTGTGAGTATCATGGGACTCAACCCAACAAAAGTACAAGAATCTGTACTTCACTGAGAAAGTGTAATCCTAAATATATCGTGTTATGCATGTCGGTTTCGGTAATTTAATTTTGAAAATGTTTTAATAGTAAACTGAATCAACCAGTCTTTTTAATATACGAACATTTTTAAAGGTTGGTAACTCTGTACTGAGTTACAGGTATTGTGATGCTATGTTATCTGTGTACAATAGGTCATATCTTTGCGGGAATGAACATTGTATTACATAATGGGTCTAAAGTGATATGTTAATGTCAGTACTGTTATAGATTATTACTAAACATGGTAATGTACAATTCATTTGTAAGTCATATCAGATCATTTACATGCCTTGATAAATACCAACGTGTTTTCTCGTGAAAATAGCACTGAAGTTTTGCTTAGGAGATAAACCAGTGCTTCAGATAAAATATGCAATATCATGACACACAGAGTTTGAACTCAATGAAAGAAAGACTTCAAATTTGAAATTATTGCTGCAGAAATATAATTAATGTAAGATTGTTTTATTTTTTACTTATTGAAAAGGCAAATTAGTCGCTTTTGAGATCACACAAACTGATTGTAAATATGTGAACATCTTGAATATGAAGAAGCTTATCATTATTTCTGGCTTGTCCAGTGCTTGGCTCTGTACTCCCTTCCGCACGTCAGTGCCCATAAACCCCAGCTTATATTCTGTAATGGCAGCAGAGAATTTCTTTTAGCTGTGCCAGCCAATCAGGACTTGTGAAAATGAGTACCGTGTCAAAACACCAGCTGAAGGAGTGAAATAACATGTCCACAGATTTATGGACTGTGGTTGTTTTGTTTATTGTGAGAATGACTTCAGTGATGTCATGAATGGCAGGATTTTTGTAAATATTATATACATATATTTTATAGTTTATATTATATATTTTATATTATACTATCCAAATTGTGGTGGAGGAATTATATTCATATATACTTTTAATGTCATACTCATAGTTTATTGTTAAGTTATGTTGACATTACAGTATGTATTTTGGATGAAGATGATGAATTGATAAGTGATTTGTAGCATCGCAGGATGACCTCTACAGACCAAGACCCGTGAAGGTCTGGGTTAGAATGAATCTTCAGTAACCCATGCTTGTCGTAAGAGGCGACTAACGGGATCAGGTGGTCAGGATCGCTGACTTGGTTGACACATGTCATCGGTTCTCAATTGCGCAGATGGATGCTAATGCTGTTGATCCCTGAATTGTCTGGTCCAGACTCGATTATTTACAGACCGCCGCCATATAGTTGGAGTATTGCTGAGTGCGGCATAAAACTAAACTTACTCACTCACTCTACTGACCAGAGGCTGAAGAGGTAGTAGCCTGAATGCTTAAGGCGTCACAGTTGTCTGTGCTGCATACGGCTATCGACCATCATCTGCTGGTCGTGGGAAACAAATCTCTTCCCCTAATCTTGATCATGTACCTGTAACCATCTAAGTACTTGATCACGATATTATATGTATCGTGATGTGTAGGTCACGATACTACATGTATGGCGTTATGTACCTCATGATACTATACGTATTGCAATATGTAGATCACGATATGGTATGTATTGCGACACGCGATACTATACTCATTGGAATAAGTAAAATCGGTTACTGAAACTTCTTAAACTATTGATGTTTTCAGAGCCGGGTCAAAAGGAGTATCTAGCTGTAGAAACATGTTCCTGGAAAAATGTTTTTAGCAGTGACCTTAAAACGCTTGATAAAGGAGTTAGAACCTTCTTAACTATTGATGTTTCAGAGCCGGGTCAAAAAGGAGTATCTAGCTGTAGAAACATGTTCCTGGAAAAATGTTTTTAGCAGTGACCTTAAAACGCTTGATAAGGGTGTTAGAACCTACACCGAAACGTCGCTCTCACAGCATTAAACAAGTTTTTCATCCATATATTGTTATGCTACCTTACTGCTCCCACTTCTAAATGCCTCAAAGAAGTTAGTTTCTATCCAACAAAGTGTCAGTTGTTTCAGTCCTGTAAAGTGTAGACTTTCCTCCAACTTCGAAAGAACATGCCGTACTCTTGCAAGCCGTATTATGCCAAACACATGAACACCCGATGCCAAACTCATGAACACCCGATGCCAAACTCATGAACACCCGATGTCAAACTTCGAAGGAATACATTGTGAACATTTGGTGTTCGAAAACAAGAAATTACAGTCATTGTGTGCGCCATGTTTGTGATATTTCTGACTGCAATGGCAAATTTATTATTTGGATTATTAACGTC